AAAGAGTGGATTTTTTCAATAAAGTAGTACTGTATTAGAATTTTAAACTTATTAACTATAGAAATAAAGTCTAACTTTTGTTATCTTAAACCAGTGTTAAATGAAATCTGACTACAAGTTGTTGTTACAAAAGTATATTCAAGCCTGTAGGATATCCTGGAAGAGGAGGGAAGGATTAACTTTGAGAATTAGTTGCTTAATCAGGGTAAAGCCAAAGAATGTTTTTCCCTTTTAGAATAAGCCAGTGCCTCCTAGATTTAAAGAAAGGAATTTTGAAGTCTAGAGTAAAAATTTATTCATGACAGTCGGGTGATAGAAACCCAAAAAAGGACCCATATTTTAGAATAAAGGTACAAGTATTAAAAGAGGAGGGGAAAAGAAAAGGTTAAGTATCTGTAATGACTTAGTGAATTTAAAGAAGAACCTAATCTTGAAAAGCTCATAAGGTCCCCGGGAGGGAGTATAGGGGAAAATGACAGGTAGGGAGTATAATTTTGGTACTACTGTTTAAAGATTGACTAATTCTGTATTGTAGAAATTTAATCAACTACAAAAATGTTGTAATAATCAGGACAAAGAAATGACCAGGTTTTACTAGGTTAGACCTAAACAGTGAAAACAAAGCAAATTCAGGAGACTGATAACAAAGGAGGTAAGAAAAGTAGAATTAAATAGTTAATTCATAAGTTTTCTGGAGCTCCTTAGAAATTCCACTTAAATAGCCATAAGATGTGCCCAGTAGAAGCTGGGCAAAGGTGTGTGTTTTTTTTTCCATCATGTCACTGGGGGTTTTTTCTAGCTTTTAAAATATGCTCAGGAGAAGGAACAATAGTTGAAATTACAGCTTAGTGTAACATAAGGGATTTTAGTTTTTGCATTTTAGTTTTTGGCAGAAATGATAGATACCTAATTCACAGTGTTAAATTTTAGATGGTCTGTCTTCTGCTGATCCCAGCTCTGATTGGAACGCACCAGCAGAAGAGTGGGGGAATTGGGTAGATGAAGAACGAGCCCAGTTCCTGAAGTCCCAGGAGCCAATTCCTGATGATCAAAAAGTGAGTAAAGGGATTGGCGCAAAAGTATATTTCTTTACACCCAACTATCATAGAATTATTAGTATATTAATTAGTATGTAATATTATAAGTATATCCAAATTGCTTCAGGGAGACATTATGATCGTATTTACTTCAGTTATCTTTTGCCTGCATGCCTTCTCTATATCACTGTTGTTTTTCCCCCCACAAATTATGGAGGGCTTTATATGGAAAGCACTATTAGACACTGATAGGAAAACAAACATTTCCTGTCCACTTATCAGAATTACTATAATAGCCTACCAGCTCTTAATGTGTTTTAGAAAAAAGTAAATTGGTGTCCAGTGTAAGATTAAGGAAGTCTTCATAGCAACAGACAAGACTGAGAACATCATGAAAAAGGCACCAAGGCAAGGAAATAGGTAACATGCTTAGTGGAGAGATAAAATAGTATACAACTGTGGAACCAGCTAGTAATAGGATCAGTTATTTACATGTCTGTCTTCCCCCTTCTAGGCTACATTCCTTAAATAAAGGGTCCATGAAGTTCTGGTTTCTGTAGCTCTAGCAACATGCTTGGCATTCAGAAAAAGGAATAATAAAGATAAATATTAAGTTTATTTTCCTCTCCACCTCTAGCCCTGTCATCATTTATGATAACTGTAAGATTCACATAATTGAACCAATCCACACCTTGAGCTATCAGTTCAGTTCTTTTTTTTTCTTTTTCCTTTTTTTTTTCTTTTTCTTTTTGAGAGGAAAGGATAGGGAGAGAGAGATAGAAACATCAATGATGAGAGAGAATCATTGGTCAGCTGCCTCTTACACACCCCACACTGGGGACTGAGCCTACAACCTGGGCATGTGCTCTGACTCAACCACTGAGCCACCCTGGCCAGGCAATAGGAGAGATTTTAATGCAGGGTCGGCAGATTTTTTAATAAAGAGCCACACAGTAGTGCAAAAGTAGCCATAGGCAACACAGAAGTGAGCTTTATTTACAAAAACTGGCATTGGGCTAAATTCGTAGTTTATCTACTGCTTTAACGTATCTGTAGGCAAAGAGGCAAAGGATCTTAAGAAAGTTAAATATAGGAGATTTCACTAATAGAGTAAGATCCTAGCAATAGAGTTCGGGGAACCTTAGGCACAAGTGGATTGTGGGTTAGCCTTTAATTTAATATATAGTACCTCTCATCTTCAAGGACCAGAGAAAGGGAGATGTCCTTAATGGGATTTACCACAAAGGGTGTAAATAAATGTGGAGGGGGGCAGTTACCAGTAAAATCAAAGTCGGGGGGGGGGGGCGATAATGAATTTTAGATTGGACCTACAAAAGCTTCCTAGAGTTGCCAAGAGCTGGAGGAAAGAGGGACAAATGGGCAGAGCACAGAGGGTACTTAGGGCAGTGAAACTACTCTGTATACTATACTGGTGGATCCATGTCACGGTACATTTGTCCAAACTCATAGAATGTGCAACACCAAGAGTGAGCCCTGATGTTGGCTATGGACTTTGAGTGATAATGGTGTGTCACTGTAGATTCATTGGTTGTAACAAATGTGCCACTCTGAAGGAATGTTGATAATGGGGGAGAGGGTAGTCTGTCGGGGGGGGGAGGGGGCAGTGGCAGGGAGTGTATGGAAATCTTTACCTTCTGCTCAATTTTGCTGTGAACTTAAAACTGTTAAAAAATAATAATAATAAAGTCTACATTTTTAAAAAAGGTTCTTAGTATATAGTATCTTAGCACACAGTAATCATTCTGATACTTATTGAATGTTTAGTGAATGTACAACTAAAAGTCTGTTTCTCTTAACTAGAACGTCCCATGCCTGCACATTAGCATTTAACAGTGGAAACACTGAATAGAGTAAAGACTATCACATCATAGCAGTTCTTTTTCTGAGTAGATTCAGAGATCATCTTTACATTTCTAAGCAAAAATGGGAAGCCATCTAAATGCCCATTAGTTGGGGAATGGATAAATAAAATGTTTGTACAATGGCATATTAGACAGATTTTGTAAGTGAATGAAATAAAGCTAAATTAGTATATCAGTATTACTAAAATCTCAGTAATTGGTGAGCAAGTTTCAGAAAGATACAATAATGATACCATTTGTGCATATGTTGTGTGGGGAGACACATAAATTTATAGAAAAATTGATTAGATGAATACAAAAGAAGTTCATGATAATGATTACCCCTAGGGAGGTAATGTGGGAATGAGATTGAGAAAGGGGTTAAAAGGAATTTTCAGTTTTTCAGAATATTTGAGTTAAAAGATGGTATGGAGTTGATTTCCTCCTTTTCCCCATGAACAAAAATAGTGTTTTGCCATGCAGAACTGCCTTTCTTTTATGGCTGAGTTACAGTTAGCTAAAGCTAAGTGGTACAGTGTTTTGTTTAGTTTTGTTTTTCTCTCTGATAGTAATTTTGTAAACTATTTGGTGGTTAATGAGACCTCTAAAATCATCCTAATGACTATGGTGCTGAACAGGAAAATAGCAGGTATCCATATAATCTCTTTCTCTAAGAATAGTCTAGTGATCTTGGCTGTCACCTGTGCAAAATAAACAAAAGACACCTTTCCATAGAAAATTCAACTATATGTGATGTGTGAAGAGATATCATCAGTACTAATAATACTAATTTAACAGTTCTAATTCACTGTTTTTGTCATGCAGAATGTTATTTTCAGTGACTTTCTCAGATTTAATTTTTAAATTAAGTCTTCTCTTTTGAGATGATTAGAAAGTCACATTTACTTGTAAGAAAAAATACAGAGCAATCCCCTTGTACCCTTTACCCAGTGTCCCTCATTGGTAATATTTTCGAAACTATAGGACAGTATCATCACAACCAGGACTTGGCATTGAGTAGTCAAGATACAGAACATTTCTGTTACTTCATGGATCCCTCAGGTTGCTCTTTTTCATACCATCTTCTCTTCCTTCCTATCTCCACCCCCTTTTCAAATCCCTAGCCAACTAGGAAGTAAGCTGTTCATCATCTCTATAATTTTGTCATTTTAAGAATGTTCTATGTAAAGAATTATATAGTATATAACCTTTTGGTAGTGTTTTTTCACTGAGCATAATTCTCTAAAGCAGCGGTCGCCAACCTTTCCGACCTCACAGACCACCAGTTGGCAACCGCTACTCTAAAATTTCTTCCAAGTCATTGTATGTATCATTAGTTGCTTCTTTTTGCTTTTGCGTGGTAGTCCATGCTCTACTCAGTTTACAGGCATACCTCACCTTATTGCACTTCGCTTTATTGCACTTCACAAATGTTTCATTTCTTTACAAATTGAAGGCAAGACCCTCCACCAGCAAAAAGATTGCAACTAACTTTATTGCAATACGGGCTTAATATTTGGTCAAGAACCGAAGCTGCATTGTATAGGAGGTGTACCTGTATTGATCATTCTCCTGGTAAAGGACATTTGGGTTGTTTCTGTTTGGGGGCTGCTATGAATACAGCTGCCGTGTACATTCATGCACCAGTTTTTATGCAAATATAAGTTTTCATTTCTCTGGAATAAATGCCTAGGAGTACAATCCCTGGGTAAAGGGTTCATATTTAATATTTTTTTAAAAAACTGCCTGTTTTCCAAAGTGGCTGTCTCACTTTATATTTCCACTGATGATGCATGAGTGATTTAATTTCTCTGCATCCTTGCAAGCACTTGGCTGTTGTCACTATTTTTTTTTCTTTAATTTTTTGTAATTGATTTTAGAGAAAGAGAGAGAAACATCAGTTTGTTGTGCCACTTATTTATGCATGCATTGGCTGACTCTTGTATGTGTCCTGGCCAGGTATCAAATCAACAACTTTGGCATATTGGGATGATGCTCTAACCAATTGAGCTACCTGGCCAGGACCACTATTTTTTATTTTAACCATTCTGATAGGTACGTGGTGATAACTCATGGTAAATTTTTAGTCTGCATTTCCCTAATGGCTAATAATATTGCACATCTTTCCATGTGCTTTTTTGCCATCTGTCTTCTTTCATGAAATGTCTGTTCATATCTTTGCACATTTTCTATTTAGACTGCTTGGTTTTTTTACTGTTGAATTTTTAGTGTTCTTTATATAATCTAGATACAAGTCCTTGGTGGATATATGGTTTGCAAATATTTTCTCCCATTTCTATAGTTTGCCATCCTCTTAACAGGGTCAAATTCAATTTTAATACAAATAGCTCTACATTTAAACTTTTAAATAAAACAGAATTACCTATCTAATGAATTTTTAAAAACCAAGATTTGTACAGCTCTTGTAGTTAGTAGAAAAGATGTAAGGAAAAGTGGTCAGTCATAGACAATAGGAGAATGAAGTTCCATGTACTTTATTTTTTTAAGATGTAATGTTAGATCAGTTTTATTGCTTGTTACTAATTCCTATTTAGTATTTAAATAAAGACTAACCCTAATAAATGAAATTATTTCGTAATACTTTTCAGAATAATGAGAAGTTGGTTCACTTTAACACTTTTGCTTTTAAAATTAGGTTTCAGATGATGATAAAGAAAAAGGAGAGGGTGCCCTTTCAACCGGGAAATCTAAAAAGAAAAAGAAGAAAAAGAAGAAGCAAGGTGACGATAACTCTCCTGCACAGGTAGAATATCAAAACAACAAGTTTCATTCAGTAAGCACCTTCTGCAGAAATGTGAAAAGAAAATGCTAAGACTCTGTAGAGATAAAAGACATCAAATTTATTTGAAAATTCCCTAAATGTTTTAAAGATTTTATACATCATACTGTTAAAAAAAAAAAAAACAACCTTTGTGCTTAAAAAAAAAAAAATCCAAGTTGTAAACCCAAAAGTAAGTAAATAAAATTCTAAATTAGTCCAGATGCATTTTGTGCTGAAATGGAAAAGGAGGTTCCTACAGCATTTCACATCTACAGAAATTCTAACTTTCTGTTGCTCCTCCATTTTCCTTTTCTTTGGTCTTTCCTATCTGGGGGAAATGTTTTCGATTATAATGTAGATCAGTGGTTCCCAATGTGGGCACACTCCCCACAGGGGGGCAATTTTATTATTTTTAAATATATTTTATTGATTTTTTACAGAGAGGAAGGGAGAGAGATAGAGAGTTAGAAACATCGATGAGAGAGAAACATCGACCAGCTGCCTCCTGCACACTCCCCACTGGGGATGTGCCCGCAACCAAGGTACACTTGACCGGAATCGAACCTGGGACCTTTCAGTCCACAGGCCGACGCTCTATCCACTGAGCCAAACTGGTTTCGGCTGCTGCATGACTTTTTAAGGAAATATGTGTTTAGTTCTTTTTTGTTAAGGGAAACACAACCCTTCATAAATGATACCAATTTATTATCACTATTAGTTTTTTCTCTGTAGTAGTAATTAGTGGGCATTAAGGCTAATGTGGCTAAGACCAATAGATATAAAAATCTAAAACTTGATAGTTTTTTCTAGCTAAGCTAACTGATGAGAAATGTTATTGACAATTATCCTTTGTTAGCAGTACCACCTGAAATCCATTTAGCCAACTTTGTCTGGATTTCTGTGTTAATTATGCCGTTCCTGGGCTTGTAGATTAGGTGAGTTCCTTTTAAAAGAAATTTTGAGAGATTAATGTATTATAAATTTCAATTTATTAGAAAAGGTCATTGTGAAAGTTTTTTGGTATTTTGATGACATGCCTTTTTTAAAAAGTTTGATCTGTTTTTTTAAATACAGTGAAGCCTGGCCAGCATGGCTTAGTGCTTGAGCATCAACCTATGAACCAGGAGGTCACGGTTTGATTCCTGGTCAGGG